CTCCAGACAGTTCTCTTCGTCTGCAGTTCATTTCCTTTGTTTCCACATTTCAATCGAAACTTCTAAGACAGAGAGAGAGAGAGTGAGTAAGTGAGAGAAAGAGAGACAGTGAGTGCGATTGCTAGGCAAGTGTATTTGAGCTTCGTGTTATGTTTCTCTGTTCGCTTCCGTTGTGCTGTTTGCAGAATTCATTTGGTCTTTCTGGCCTTTTGTGTTTTTGGCTTTTTCTGTGTGTACTTTGCCTTGCCGGCATGTTGCTGGCCTGCCTGCCACGTTAGCGTTGCCTTCTGCCCAATGACTCTGCCACGTTGTGTTTTAACAAACAGCCGAAAACAATTGGCTCGCATCGAGTTTTGTGCCAAGTGCTGCCTGCTAGTCGAAGTCAAAGTGGAGTGCTTAACGCTCGACTACATTTCCAACTTGGACTCCTCGAGCCGTGCTCCATTTAGCAACGTCGTGCATTGAACTGTGCGGCTCTTCGATATTTTTTATGCCATTTGCATTACGTATGCGCCCCGTTGTGCGCTTTGTGAGTTCAGCTTGCAATTATTGCGCCCGGCTCCCCATTTGTTGCCCCAAGGCTATCGAATGCATCGCCACCCCTCCTGCATGCATTGTTGCAAACACTGCTCCTTTTTGCTGCTCTCCTGCTTTTTGTTGCTGCCTGCACCTTTTTATGTTGCCACACAAAGGAGCGTGGAGTGTGCCACAACTAAGACAAGCAATAAGTGCCGGACTGCCGCCCCAGGCCAGGAGCAACGCCTAAGAGCAAAGCGGAGCAGAGCAGAGTGCAGTGAGTGCTCTTATTAAAGTTCGTTTTGTTTGGACCCCAAACAATGTCGTCACCGGTCGAAAAGTGCCGCCAGACTCTTTGTGGCAATCTAAAAACTTGCAGCAGTCGGCACCATTTTATGAATGCATAAAATATTACACACACTTATGCAGCAGCAGCTCGGACTCTGTGTGGACACAGAGCCCCCATTGGTGGTGCAAAAACTAAACGTGATTTGTAACTTTTTATGAAATTTATTCAAAACTTTCTCCTTCTTGAGCTGAAGCAGCAATGTTGATAGAAATATACATACATGCGCATACATACATATATGCATTTATTGACACGCTCGGACCTTCAACTTTTTGAGTACCTTGAGAGATAAGAAACGAGCCGAAAGGTAACTGAAATTTAGTTGCTTTAGTTTTAGCCTGAATACGGTAATACTTTGTGCTTTGAGAGCTTGGATTCATTAATTTGAATGAGAGGAGACTAGACTAGAGACCTTATTATGTCTTTTGATCAACTGTAATTGAGGGTGTATTGTTGTCTGGAATCTACAGACCCCATAGCAGTGTAAAAGGTTATTAATCTCAAAGGGCATTTGACATACAAACATATAGAAAAATTCAAGACAAGACATAGAATCCAACATAGTTGACTCTCATCTTGATCCTGACGAAATATGAGCTCATTTTTTAATATTTAAATGAAGCTCACTCATACTCAGTGTTTCGGGGTGCTTAGAGTATTCAATATTTATATTATATTAAAATATAGATAACTAACTATCTGTCACTATTGAATCTAGACTGAATCTAGAATCTAAACTGAAGCATATTGACTTTTGGTCTATTGAACTTCTTATATGTACATATGTCCAATTCTCCATACTAACGTTATTTTAATGCCTAAATTATTTATTACATTTTCTTATACTTTTGAATATTATTTTCCTTCAAGAATTCCTTACAAATATTCTCAGCTTATCATATTTACCATATAAGTCCCCTTAGCTTTTATAAAATATGACTATA